GTGGTAGTGGTGGTAGAGTGGTGGTAGTGGTGGTGGTAGTAGTAGTAGTAGTAGTAGTAGTAGTAGTAGTAGTAGTAGTAGTAGTAGTGGTGGTAGTGGTGGTAGAGTGGTGGTAGTGGTGGTAGTGGTGGTAGAGTGGTGGTAGTGGTGGTGGTAGTGGTGGTAGTGGTAGTAGTGGTAGTAGTAGTAGTAGTAGTAGTAGTAGTGGTAGTGGTAGTGGTAGTGGTAGTGGTAGTGGTAGTGGTGGTAGTGGTGGTAGTGGTGGTGGTAGTAGTAGTAGTAGTAGTAGTAGTAGTAGTAGTAGTAGTAGTGGTGGTAGTAGTGGTAGTAGTGGTAGTAGTAGTAGTAGTAGTAGTGGTGGTAGTGGTGGTAGTAGTGGTAGTAGTGGTAGTAGTAGTAGTGGTGGTAGTGGTGGTAGTGGTGGTAGTAGTAGTGGTGGTAGTAGTAGTAGTAGTAGTAGTAGTAGTAGTGGTGGTAGTAGTGGTAGTAGTAGTAGTGGTGGTAGTGGTGGTAGTGGTGGTAGTAGTGGTAGTAGTGGTAGTAGTAGTGGTAGTAGTGGTAGTGGTAGTAGTGGTAGTAGTGGTGGTAGTGGTGGTAGTGGTGGTAGTAGTGGTATTAGTAGTAGTAGTAGTAGTGGTGGTAGTGGTGGTAGTAGTGGTAGTAGTGGTAGTAGTAGTAGTAGTAGTAGTAGTGGTAGTGGTAGTAGTGGTAGTAGTGGTGGTAGTGGTAGTAGTAGTGGTAGTAGTAGTAGTAGTAGTAGTGGTAGTAGTGGTGGTAGTGGTGGTAGTAGTGGTAGTAGTGGTAGTAGTAGTAGTAGTAGTAGTGGTGGTAGTGGTGGTAGTGGTAGTAGTAGTAGTGGTGGTAGTGGTGGTAGTGGTGGTAGTGGTGGTAGTAGTAGTAGTAGTAGTAGTGGTGGTAGTGGTGGTAGTGGTGGTAGTAGTGGTAGTAGTAGTGGTAGTGGTAGTAGTGGTAGTAGTGGTAGTAGTAGTAGTAGTAGTAGTAGTGGTAGTAGTGGTGGTAGTGGTGGTAGTGGTAGTAGTGGTGATAGTAGTGGTAGTAGTGGTGGTAGTGGTGGTAGTAGTGGTAGTAGTGGTAGTAGTGGTAGTAGTAGTAGTAGTGGTAGTAGTAGTGGTAGTAGTAGTAGTGGTAGTAGTAGTAGTAGTAGTAGTAGTAGTAGTGGTAGCTACTACTACTACTACTACTACTACTACTACTACTACTACTACCACACTACTACTACTACTACTACTACTACTACCACTACTACCACCACTAGTAGTAGTAGTAGTAGTAGTAGTAGTAGTAGTGGTAGCTACTACTACTACTACTACTACTACTACTACTACTACTACTACTACTACTACTACTACTAGTGGTGGTAGTAGTGGTAGTAGTGGTAGTAGTGGTAGTAGTAGTGGTAGTAGTAGTAGTGTTAGTAGTGATAGTAGTGGTAGTGGTGGTAGTAGTAGTAGTAGTGATAGTGGTAGTGGTAGTGGTAATAGTTGTGGTTGTGGTAGTGGTAGTAGTAGTAGTAGTAGTAGTAGTAGTAGTAGTAGTACTACTACTACTACTACTACTACTAGTAGTAGTGGTAGTAGTAGTGGTAGTAGTGGTGGTAGTAGTAGTAGTGGTAGTAGTAGTGGTAGTAGTAGTAGTAGTAGTGGTAGCTACTACTACTACTACTACTACTACTACTACTACTACCACACTACTACTACTACTACCACTAGTAGTAGTAGTAGTAGTAGTAGTAGTAGTAGTAGCAGCTACTACTACTACTACTACTACTACTACTACTACTACTACTAGTGGTGGTAGTGGTAGTGGTAGTGGTAGTAGTGGTGGTAGTAGTAGTAGTGGTAGTAGTAGTAGTAGTAGTAGTAGTAGTAGTGGTAGCTACTACTACTACTACTACTACTACTACCACACTACTACTACTACTACTACTACTACTACTACTACTACTACTAGTGGTGGTAGTAGTGGTAGTAGTAGTAGTAGTAGTAATACTAATAATAATAATAATAATAATAATAAAAAACCAATGGTAGTAGTGTCATTTGATCTAGTTTTCCTTTCCCAAATTCATTGAATTGCAATTCATGGGGTTATCCCATGAATTGCAATTCAACAAAATGAGAGAATTGCAATTCCCTCCAACCAAACACTGTAATTCAGGCATTCATTGAATTACAATTTAATTACATCCAACCAAACACCTTAGTGTTTTGGGCGATAAGATGTTACAAAAAAGCTAATTAATCAAACATTCATATTGATTGTTTAACCAAGTCAAACAACTAATAGTAATCAAACAAATCAAAATTAACTAATAGGCTAACTATTTTACCAAACAGGACCTAAATCTTTATTATTTAATAATCTTTATATAGTCAACTCAACTGGACAATTAATGTACATCACATACCAATTGTTAAGTACGGACTACGGAGTAAAATATATATAATAAAACATTGTTTTAAATATTGGCTGAACTCTTTTAAATATAATTGTTTGACTTTTGTATGATGCTATGAGCTTGTTACCAAGTCATATATATATATATATATATATATATATATATATATATATATATATATATATATATAACACCTACTGTTGGTTTTACGGCTCTTGAGTGCTGATCGACGGGTCAACACTACTGTAAAATACTTACAAATGGGATTTGTAACAATAAAAGAGTGAAGTGATAGAGAGAATAACATGGTGTTATTTCTTTAGAGTTTCGGCGCTTTAAGTGTCATAATTGACGTCCCTTTTCAAGGTGATCTTGGGGGGATATTTATACTAGATTACAAGATTCCTACAAAGAAAGTAAGGCTGACGTAGAGCCAATTCTATATGGGAAGTAGGGTTGACGTAGAGCCCATTCGGATATGGAATCCGGCCTACTTCGTAACATAACTGTCTAAGCTAATAAAAGAAGCTACTTAAAATAAATTAGGAAGTCTCCGCCAAAATCTGCTAGTAACCGACTCTAGATGCGCACCCTGCCGAGGACACCCGACTGCTAGGGCGGTGTCCTGAGGGACCATGGTACTTGGGCGAGGGCACTCCGACCGCGGAGTCTGGTCGGCCGATTGAGTTCCTGAGTGGTACACGGTCGGGGACACACCGCCGGCGGAGCCTGGTCGCCCACCCGAATCTCGTAAGGCATTCGGTCGAGGACACACCGACTTTCGAGGCTGGCCGTCGCCCAACCGAGTCTTATATGCGAACCCAGCCAAGGACACACCGACTGCTGGGCCTGGTCGCTTGACCCGAGCCGACCGGTCTCCACCTGAGTAGGCGTCTGCTCTCCTGAATGGCCGGTTGCTCGTAGATGACTGGCCGCGATCTCCAGGCGCTTTATATGACGTACTTGGATCATGGGTGTTGCTCATCTACTAAGTATTGGGTCGTGCTTTAGTCTAACTGCCTTGTTTTATACCCCGACCGATTGTCTGATTTGGGGTATCTATCACCTACGATCTTAAAGGTTAAATGCACAACAATGTGCACTGTAAGGCACAACAATGTGCTATGGAAGAAGGGACAATGTGCACTGGAACTCTATATAGGCAAAAAATGTGCATGGTAAGGTTTAAAGGTTGAAGGCACAACAATGTGCACTGTAAGACACAACAATGTACTCTGAAAGAAGGGACAATGTGCACTGGAACTCTGGAAAGAAAAAATGTGACTGGTAAGGTTTAAAGGTTGACGGCACAACAATGTGCTCTGGAAGAAGGGACAATGTGCACTGGAACTCTGGAAAGGCAAAAATGTGCATGGTAAGGTAGAAAATATGAGGTAATTATTAAAAAGACTAAATTTAATGCATGATCTTCAACACAAATCATAAACGATCACAATATTCAACTAAAATTAGTATTTAGTGATTCATTCATGATTAAATGCTCTTTAAAATTTATATATATATATATATATATATATATATATATATATATATATATATATATATATATATGTAACACCTACGAACTTAAAGGTTGAAGGCACAACAATGTGTACTGTAAGGCACAACAATGTGCTCTGAATGAAGGGACAATGTGCACTCACGGGAAGACTTTAAAGAAGAAAAATTAACTAACTTACTAAAAATTACAATAATGCCACCGTGTTTTTTTAATTGCTTCATTCTAGACATTGATCTAATCTGATTCAATGGATGAAATTACATTATATTTTTCACCTAAGGCTTCTTTTTTACTTGATCATATATATATATATATATATATATATATATATATATATATATAATCAAAAAATTAATTTTAATAATTATTACAAAAAAATTCAACGACCCATGTTTAATTATAATTATACTATTATTATGGTAATTATTAATTTAATTACTATACTAATTATTAGTCAATTATTATACTAATATTCGTGTAACTATTTGCTTAATAACTATAATAATTACTCCCTTCATCCCATTTTACATGTCTTACTGTCCTTTTTAGTTTGTCTCAAAATAGTGTGGTATTTCCAAAATTGAACATAGCTATTACTCTATGTTTTTCAATTTATCCTTTTGACTTTTCAAATTTCTAGAGATACTTTGTACAAATAATACTTACTTTTGTCGGGCAAAATTGAAAAGTTATTAGCATTTGTTATGTTGTATTGAAACCGTGTAAAAAGCAAATAAGACATTCAATTAGGGACGGAGAGAGTATTAGATTTTATATAGTAATAATTTGAGGATTAGCTTGGGAAAGTTGTAAAAGTTGAATTTTATTTTTGTTAGTAGTATAGATTGACAAAAAGAAAAAAATTGAATTAAATTTTTTTGTCAAACTAACAAGTGACGCTAAAAAAAAAAAAAAAAACACTAGCATTCTCTCCCGTCTAGGGTTTTATCTCCGTCTCTCCTGCTAGGGTTTTTCTTCATTGTTTTCCGACGAGCATTCTGCCAATCAGTACCGAACGAGGTCCCTTGCCGGCCTTCGAACTTCTCTTTCTCTATCTCCATGGCGTCGAGTTCCCAGCAGCAGCGTGAGGTGTCGGAGCAGTATGATGAGGACGCCTTGTCCGATAAATGGGCAGACATGCGGCTTGAAGATGAGGAGGAAGGTGTAGAGGCAGCCAACGCCTTCCGGCCGAACGATGTGGATGGGGGTAAGGTGTATTCGGTTGTAGGTCGTTTTCTCACGAGGAAGATGATCAAGGTCGAGTACATGCGGCAGGTTCTAGCTTCGGCCTGGCAGCCTGTTATGGGTCTACGGGTAACGGAGTTACATGCGAACCTCTTTCTGTTTGCTTTTTATCACGAAACGGACATGCTCAGGGTGCTCCAGGATGGGTCATGGTCGTTTGAGAATCACACGCTGGTCTGTCGGCAGGTGTGCGATGGGTCATTGCCTGGGGAGGTCAAACTTGATACGGTTGATATGTGGGTGCAAGTCTATGACTTGCCTATGGGATATACGTCCAACATGATTTTGGAGCAGGCATGTAATTATGTTGGTACGTTTATTAAGTGTGATGATCGTCAGGTTGGGGGGCCATGGAAAACGTTTTACCGTGTGAGGGTTGCAGTACCAGTGGACAAACCGCTAAAACGTAGAATGAAGTTGATACGCCGGGATAAAACCTGGGGATGGGTCAATTTTAAGTATGAACGTCTACATAATTTTTGTTACTGCTGTGGAATGTTAGGGCACCTAGAAAAATTCTGTGTGAAGGCTAGGGTTTCCGGGATCAAGCCGGAGCTGTATCCGTATGGAGCCTGGATGAGAGCAGGAAGGACCAAGGGGCCGAGGCCGGTTGGAGCATCTTGGCTATTACCGCCGGTTGGTGACACACCGTTGCCACCGAAGGTGCAGCCGGGTACGGGTTCGCCAGGTGTGGGGGGGATGGCGGATGTGCATATGGTGGTGAGTGGGGATGAGGTAGATGAGGATGTGGTGGCTTCGTCTAAAAGACGCCGTGCTGGTACGGTGGATGATGATCTCACCGGGGCTACTGTACCAGTGAGTGAGGAGGTGGTGCATGACAATGTGTCAAAAAACTTGCAGATGGCGGGTCTTGGTTCCCAGGCCCGCCCGACCCAATGAGTACACTAAGCTGGAACCGTCGTGGCTTGGGCAATCCACAGACAGTTCGTCAACTGGAGGACGTAGTGTCCCGGAAAAAGCCTGATTTTGTATTTTTGATGGAAACTAAGGTACGAAGGGATCATGCGGAACGTGTTCGAATTAAGCTAGGGTTTGAGGGGTTGTTTTATGTTGAACCGGGGGGTGAACGTGGATTAAGTGGTGGCATAGCACTATTATGGCGGAAAAATAGCACAGCAAGACTGATAACTTACTCAAAGAATTATGTTGATATGGAGATCAGTATGGTTGGGTTTCCACACTCGCGAATGACTTGTTACTATGGCTATCCAGAGAGAAATAGGCGCAGGGAGGCATGGAATCTCATTAAATCCTTAAAGTCACAATCTAATCTACCATGGGTTATGATTGGAGACTTTAATGAGCTTCTATTCCAGTACGAGAAGAGGGGGGGTAATCCACATCCGAATTATCTTCTGCGTGGGTTTGGAGAGGTCTTGGACTATTGTGGATTAGCTCAGTTGCCGATGAGTGGATATCAGTTTACATGGGAGAAGGGTAAGGGCACGACAAGATGGATAGAGGAGAAACTGGATAAAGTGTTGGCTACGAATGTGTGGAGTGATGTAGTCCCAGGAGCAAATGTGACAAATCTATTGATGAGACAGTCGGATCATTCTGCCATCTTCCTAGGTATTCATGACCCGATGGGAAGAGGGGGGACATACAGACGACAGTTCAGGTTTGAGATGGCATGGTTGTATGATGAGGGGTGCAGGCATGTGGTGGAGGAGTCGTGGAATGAGAGAAGAGGGAATGGTTTACAAGATTGTATTGCACATTGTGGCAATCGTTTGGCTAAATGGGGGGGAGACCGGTATCATAAGTTTGGTGAGCGGATTAAAAATCTCCGGAGAGAACAATTGCGGCTCAGGGGACGAATGGATACAGACTCATTAACTGAATTCCAGCGCATGGAGGTGGAATTGAGTAATATGGAGGCCCAGGAAGATGCATATTGGAAACAACGAGCGAAACAGCATTGGCTCAAGAATGCGGATGCCAATACTAAATTCTATCACAGGTATGCCTCTCACCGAAAAAAGAAAAATTCAATATCTCGTATTATGAATAATTCTGGGGATTGGGTTGAAGGAAATGATATGAAGGATGTGGTTATGGATTATTTTGCCAATGTGTTTAGTTCTAGTAATCCTGTGTCTGGCCATAGTTTATTTGAGAGGGTAGTACCAAAGATCACGCATGAGCAGAACGAAGCACTGCTTCGACCATTTGTGGTTGATGAGGTTAGGGCTGCATTATTTGCAATGTTCCCAGATAAAGCACCGGGTCCGGATGGAATGAACCCAGGTTTCTATCAGCACTTCTGGGATATTGTGGGAGGTGACATGGCAAATTATATTGTTGATTGCTTGAATATGCGTACTATCCCCTCTGCATTGAATGAAACGAATGTTGTGTTAATCCCAAAAAAAGATGCCCCAGAGTTAATTTCGGATCTACGACCAATAGCCCTAAGTAATGTTGTTTACAGAGTGATGGCCAAGATGATTGCGCAGAGAATGAAACCCCTGATGGAAGGTATTATTTCAGACACACAGAGTGCTTTTATCCCTAATCGGCTAATTACTGATAATATTTTAGTAGCAGCTGAGGTGGGACATTTTTTGAATAGAAAACAATGTGGTATTGGTGGATGGGGAGCTCTTAAACTGGATATGGCTAAGGCATACGATCGTATGGAATGACCTTTTTTGAAAGGGATGCTTAAAGCCTTAGGATTTGATGAAAGGTGGGTGGATTTGATCATGTTGTGTGTTACCACAGTCTCCTACAGGTTTCTGGTCAATGGGTCGCCTACGGAGGCAATATTGCTCACTCGTGGTCTCAGACAGGGAGATCCTTTGTCCCCGTATCTGTTTATCATTTGTGCAGAAGGCCTTTCTCTATTATTACAGCAGACACAGGCTAATGGTTTGATTCATGGATGTAGAGTGGCACGAGCTGCGCCCCCGATCTCCCATTTGTTTTTTGCTGATGACAGTTTACTATTTTTTAAGGCGAATGTACAGGAAGCTACTGAAATTAAGAATATTTTGGCTACTTATGAGAGCTTATCTGGACAAATGGTCAACTATCAGAAATCTAGTATTTGCTATAGTAAGAATACTAGTGGGGCTGATAGGGATATAATTCAGGCTCCGAATTTTGGAAAGTATTTGGGATTGCCGGCATTTGTGGGGAAAAATAAGAAAATAGCATTTGCTTATATTGAAGATAAAATCAAACAGAGAATTGGCTCATGGAATAAGAAGCTCCTAACGCAAGCTGGGAAGGAAATTTTATTGAAAAGTGTAGCCCAGGCAATGCCTACCTTTTCAATGAGTGTATTTTTGTTGCCAGTATCTGTTTGCTCTGCTATTGAGCGCACAATGAACCGATATTGGTGGGGCTCTGGGACGAACCGTGGTATTCATTGGAAATCTTGGGATAAACTATGTATCCCAAAGAAATATGGGGGTCTGGGGTTTAAGGATTTAAGAGCATTTAATTTGGCTATGGTAGGAAAACAAGCATGGAAGTTTCTTACCAATCCTGAGTCCCATGATGGATGCATGGCTAGCGGTACGCGGTGTCACCGCCCAGCCCACAAGCCAACAGACTGCTGCATTGCCGACCGAGACTATTGCCGCCCCACTGCCCAGTTCGGCAGTTGCGACTGTCTCACCAGTAGCGCTGCCACACTCGTCCACACGCCAGGAACACTCCGCATACCCGAAGCAATGTTACGTAGACGCGGGATACAATGCAGATATGAAGATAGCCACAACCGGAGTACTATTACTAGACCATATTGGAAGATATGTATCGGCTTACTGTGTGCCACCACAAGCGTGTTTCTCACCTCTTATGGCCGAGACCCTAGCATGCAAGGAAGCGTTATCGTGGCTCAAACAACGTGGTGAACAATTGATTCAAATCTTTATGGACTGTCAGACGTTGCGAACCAACCTCGAGTCTTCTATCCAACCTCGATCTTATCTTGGCTATGCCCTTGATGAGTGCCGACGCCTTATAGCTACTTTTAATTTCGTTTCAGTTATATTTATTCCTAGATCACAGAACGTTATGGCACACGACTTAGCATCAGATGCTTTTAATTATTCTACAGCTATGTACTGGGATGGGATCCCGTCTGACTCTATTTCAATTCATATATAAATGCAACCACATTGGTTTTTTCAAAAAAAAAACAAGTGACGCTAAACACCGTTTAATCATACGGGCTGCCGCTCACCGCATTTATCTCTCCGAAATCCACGCCGGGAAGAAAACTAGCGTCTATGCCAAACTTTGTTCGGGTGTTTGTTTATTTAAAATTTAAAATTACAATTTGATGAATAAATAATTTAGATATGTATTTTTTATTTTAATTAAATGGTTGAATTTTTGTTATAATTTCAAATATGGTTATTTTGTGAAATTTAATAGACTACTATTTGTATTTTAATATGATCCATGATATTAATTATTTGCTTGATCAAAGACTTTGTGGTCGAACGGCATAATTGTGGCTCTCTCAAAAAGAAAGTCACAGGTTTCAACTCTTTGTGCTTCAGTAGGTTGAGAAAGTATGTATAAATAGATACTATATTGTAACACAATCAGAAATATTCAAAAAAAAAAAATTATTTGTTTGAAATTCAATATGTTGTAAATGTCATTATTGTATTTAATAATATTTAAACAGTTTTGTTGAAAAAAAGACCAAAAATGATCCTGCCACAATAATACTATGACTAAAAATGAATATTTTAATAAAAAAAAAAAAAAAGAACTTAAAGTAGATTGTTACCCATAAATCTAGAACAAAAAATGAAATTAACTCTTAATTATTATATTTAAATTATTATGTGACGTATTTCATCTCTAATAGGTTTAACGAAGACAAACATGGATATTATTATCCTACTAATATAAGCATTTAACCCTCTTCCTGATTTAATTTTTTGATGTGTCGGTTACTATATTTAAAAATAATTTTTATAATTTTGTTTTAATAATTTCAAATAAAATAATTATTTAAAAAAAAAAAAAAAAAAAAAAAACAGCCTCCAGGCTGGCCGGAGACGAAGGACCCTTCGTCTCCGGCCAGCCAGTCATGGAGACTCCGGCTGCTTTAGGAGACGAAGGGGACGGTCTCCATTGCTAGCCGAAAACAAAGCGATCCGACCGCTTCGTCTCCATGGCTGGCCGAAAACGAAGGGCCGGCCATGGAGTCTCCGGCCAAGCTTTTTTTTTTTTTTTTTTTAAATTTCAAAATAATTATTTTATTTGAAATTATTAAAATAAAATTTAAAAATTATTTTTAAATATAGTAACCGACACATCATCAATCCAAACATGTTGTTAACCTGCTAAAAATGCTAATTGTTCTTTTTTTTTTTTTCCAAGTTCATGGATGAATTTGGAGCATATTCAAGTTCGGTGACTTAATTGCTATCCCCAAATAGTTCAATGGTCTATTTGTACATTTTCCCTTCTTTTTAAGTTCAAAATTGTAACAAGCTTCTCCAATTTTCACGGCTTCCGTTGAAATTTATGTTTACATACACTAGTTTTTACACACACATTATTTTGTGTGTACTCATAAATCATACCACAATATTTATTTATTTATTTATGATACATGTGTAGGTGGCTGATTCAACGGAGTAGAATATCTAAATTTATTAAAAATGAAACAAAGAAAATCACTCTCTTTTATTTTTTTAAATTTATTTAACGTCACTTATGCCACAAAGATGATCCTTGAACCAACACACTACACCACAATTTATAACACTCAAGTTTATTTAGGAACTTGAAAAAAGTATATAAAGTGAAACCGACATAAAAACTATCAAAGAAAATGTATAAAACATATAAGGGTGTTTGTGAGTTCAAAGGACATTTATGTTTTTTTTTTTTTTTTTTTT